TAAAGGGAAGAACAGATAAAGAAATTGCAGCTTGGATGTCCAAATCCCTGGGAGCTTTATAGGTGGTTTGTTTACCATGATGATGACAATACTATTATGGTCAGACCTTAAATTTTTGGTGAAGCCAACAGTCTATCATTCTATGCACAGAGCTGCACTGAAATTCCAATTGAGGATGTTAGTTTTTGGGGATAAACAGACCCATGTACCTGTTTTGCTTCCAAGACCAATAGGGCAAACCTGGTGAAACATACTATGTATGAAATGACAAAAGGGGTGGTTTTAGAGAACCTGGGAACATCTGTATAAACTGATGCAGAGAGAAATGAGCAGAACTGTTTATACAGTTTATACACTGTGAAGACAAACACTTTGAAACACTTAAGAAAATTTGATCAATAAAATGACCAACCATGACCTATGATAAAGCATGCTATCCATCTCTTGACATGTGATTATCTCAAGGTTCAAATGAAATGTATTTCAGATATGGCCAAAGTATAGATTTGTTTAACCTGGCTCTGTGTATTTGTTATAAGGGTTTTGTTTTTCCAGTGTATGTGTGTGTGTATGGGGTGCTGTTAGGGGGAGATGGTGACCAGCAATCATATTGTCAAAAGAAATAAAGAAGAGAAAAGGGGGGGGCACGGAAGCATTTTTTAAAAAATTAAAGAAATGAACAGAAGGAAACAGATAAGGAGGACAGCTTTGAAAGCAACACTGAATTTATTATATATGTAAAAGAAAAAGCAAGCTGTAGATAATAATCACAGTTTCACATACAATCTTCATTACATGCTCTATTTTGTATATAGAAATGCACATCTTATTTGGTGTTTGTTAAGAATCAAAAACAATTTTTTAAAAGTTTTATCTTGTGGAGGTGTTAGGTAATGGGAACTGGAGCATGGGGGAAGGGGTTCACATTGAGTATCTTACAGGAGAGGTAAATGTTATAATGACTTCCATAGGCTTCTATTCCTTATTAAAATCACTTCATTCATCCAACTTTTAAGAAAATGCTTTTCATTGGGCATTTCCAATTCATACAGCAGGTAAACCTAAAACTGAAGTATCTTTGATAAACTCTAACTTACAGAAAAAAGTTATTTCCCACCCCTAGTCAAAGAGAGTCAAAGAAGGCAGCCATGGGGAATAAAAGTAGGGGAGCCTGCTTATATGGTCTGTAGCCGTCTCCATTCTCAACCTCTTCAGACCATTCTTTTTTTTTTATTAATTTATTTTGATTTATCAACATCACTTCCATAAGCTTTTGAGTTTTGAATTTTTCTCCTCCTTCCTCTCCACCTCCCTCCCCAAAATGGTGTGCAATCTGATATAGGCTATACAAATACATTCCTATTAAACATATTTTCACATTAGTCATGTTGTAAGGAAGAATTAGAACCAATAGGAGGAACCACCAGAAAGAAGAAACAAAACAAAACAGAAAAAAAAAGAGCAAATAGTATGTTTCAATCTACATTCAAACTCCATAGTTCTTTCTTTGGAAGTGGATAGCATTTTCCATCATGAGACCTTTGGACATGTCTTAGATCCTTGCATTGCTAAGAAGGGCTAACTCTATTAAAGTTAGTCATCTCACAACGTGGCTGTTACTGTGTACAACGTTCTCTTAGTTCTGTCACTTCACTTAGCTTCAGTCCATATAATTCTTTCCAGGTTTTTCTGAAGTCTTAAATTGTATTATAAAGTAGCAATCATTAAAACTCCTTGTTACTGGCTAAGAAACAGAGTGGTGGATCAGTGGAATAGGATAGGTATGTAAGACACAGTAGTCAATGACTATAGTAATCTACTATTTGATAAACCCAGAGACCCCAGCTTCTGGGATAAGAACTCACTATTTGACAAAAACTGCTGAGAAAACTGGAAAAGAGTATGGCACAAACTAAGCATAGACCAACATCTTACACCAAGATAAAGTCAAAATGGGTACATGATTTAGACATAAAGGCTGATACTATAAGCAAACTGGGAGAGCAGGGAATAGTTTACCTGTTGGATTTATGGAGAACAGAAGAATTCACGACCAAATAGGAGATAGAGAACATTATGAAATACAAAATGGATAATTTTGATTACATTAAATTGAAAAGTTTTTGTACAAACAAAGCCAATGCAACCAAGATTAGGAGGGAAGTAGAAAACTAGGAAAGAATTTTTATAACCAGTGTCTCTGATAAGGCCTCATTTCCTAATATAGAGAGAATTAAGCCAAATTTATAAGAATACAAGCCATTCCCCAACTGATAAATGGTCAAAGGATATGAACAGGCAGTTCTCAGATGAAGAAATTAAAGCCATCCATAGTCATACAAAAAATGCTCTGAATCACTATTGATTAGACAAATGCAAATCAAAACAACCCTGAGGTACCACATCACTTCTATCAGATTGGCCAACATAACAAAACAAGAAAATGATAAATGTTGGACAAGATGTAGGAAAATTGGAACACTAATGCATTGTTGATGGAGTTGTGAAATGATCCAACCATTTTGGAGAGCAGTTTGGAATTATGCCCAAAGGGCTATAAAAATGTGCATACCCTTTGACGCAGCAATACCACTTCTAGGGCTACATCCCAAAGAGATCATAAAAATGGGAAAAGGACCCACATGTACAAAAATATTTGTAGCAGCTCTTTGCGTGGTGGCAAAGAATTGGAAATTGAGAGGATGCTTATCAATTGGAGAATGGTTGAACAAGTTGTGGTATATGAATGTAATGGAATACTATTGTGCTATGAGAAATGATGAGCAGGCTGACTTCAGAAAAACCTGGAAAGACTTCTATGGAATGTTGCTGAGTGAAGTGAGCAGTCCATTCTTTAAAATTTAGTAGAGGAGCTATTGGATCACACACGTACCTAGTGGTATTGCTCTTCACTGTTTAAAAGGTAAATGATCCCTGCCATGGGTTACTATTCTGCTAAATCTGCCCCCAGCCCACTCTACCCTAGCATAAGGCTGCAAAGGGTGAGGACTTCCTCTGAGTCAGTGCTAGAAATGCCTATGCTCCCGGGTGTATATCTGCTCTGATCTCCTCTATGTGTCCTCTCTCCCTTCAGTTCTCCTTTTCCTCTTTTATTCTGTTGTGTAAATGTCAGAAGAGCTATGCTGGGATCTTTACAATGAGTAAAAGATAATACGATCATAGATTTAGAGCCCAGCAGTGACCTCAGAGGTCATCTAGTCTACCCTCTTCACTTTAGAAGTAAGGAAACCGAGGCCTAGAAAGGTCAGTTGCTCAATACCACACAGACAGCAAGTGGCACTTGTCCCACTTTTACTTTGTGCAATATGCCTTGCTCTGATTAACCTTCCTTGCCTGACTTGTAAGCCTTGGCTGGACATACTGTGACTTTGGAGTTCCCTCCCTCCTTTACCTTCTGCTTTCAATATGTAATATCCAAAATATCTCCTTGGAATATCACTATCATGATTCTTGGCTTGACTTGTATGCCTTGGCCAGATATACTGTGACTTTGGAGTACCCTCCAAGCCTTCACCTTCGGCTCTCAATGTGTAAAACCCAAAATATCTCTTTGGGAGACTCTTGGCTTCACTTAATGATAGGAACCTCAAGGTGCTCAAACTTTTCTCCTACTCACTCCCTTCTTTATAGCTTCTTTTAACATAGGATTAAAAAAAACAAACCAGTAGAATGCAAACTTCTTAAGGGTAGGGATTGTTTATGCTTCTTGAATTTAATTCATACATTAACTTGATCTTCCTAATACAAATAGGACTCTCCAGTACTATCATCACCCCTTTAGAATGGAAGAAGAAACTGAAACTCTGAGAACTTAAATGACTTGCTCCCGGGTCCTTCTGCCGGCCAGTATCAGGAACAGAATTTGCTACCAGGTTTCCCTGACTACAAGTCCAGCAGTCTTAGTATTCCTTATGCCCAAAGCCTTCGAGCTGCATTTTAGTTGCATTGAGGAAGGGGCCTTTGGCCGTCAGGAGTCAGAATGCAAAGCCCTAGGAACCTTTTCTACATAAATGTGGCATGGTGTAGAAGGACCTACTGGTGAAGTCAGGAACACTTCCTTTAAATCCTGGTAGAAGTGTAATACTGTGTTTATTAAAAAGTCTATTTAACCTCCCCGATCTTCAGTTTTTTCTTCTGTAATGTGACTTATTCCTGAAAGAAATGGCAAACCACGCCAGTACCTTTGTCAAGAAAATCCTATGGACATTATTGGCAAGCTACGGTCGACTGGGTCACTAAGAGTTGGACACTATCGAACAACGTGATTTATCATTAGTCTTGTGATCATGGGAAAGCACTTCACCACTTTCAGCCTCAGTTATCCCATCCCTGAAATGGGGATAATACTAGTTTGGGAGGGTACGTGCCCGAGAAGGTTGCAGGGAGAATGAAACAGGTGTGTAAAGCATTTTGCAAACTAAACCTTAAGGTGTCTAGCTGTCCACCCCCTCCAACCCCGCACCCTCCCCTACAGGGCCTGCACGTGGGGGCCAGGGCGTCCCTTTGTACCTAGCCCACGTGGGCTGCGGTGGGTTCCCAGGAAGCCAGGGACCCAGCCCCAGGAGAGGAAGGAGGAGTGTGTGGGGGGGTCGGAGCTGGAGGAGGGGGCTGCTGCCGCAGAGCAGACACTCTTCTCTCCCTCCGCCCTCCCTAGACACTCCGACGACCGCGAGTGGCAGAGCAGCCCTCGGACCATCGGTATCGCCTCACGTCGGCCCCGCCCAGGGCCGCTTTCTCATTGGCTGCAGCGTCCCCCTCTGCGAGCGCAGGCGGCCAATGGGAGAGGCCACCCCTACCCTCCCACCTCGTATGCCTTCTCCTCCCTTCAGGGGGGTCGGAGGTGAATGGCCTCGAGTAACCCCGGGATTTAAGTCACCCAACTCCGGGGCTCGCAGCCCGTCCGACCCAGAGGGGGCTGGCGCGGAGGGGGTGGGTCGTAGGCGGGGCCTAGCACAGAGGGGGTGGGGTCTGGAGGCTCCGCCCCGACGCGGCCTCGCGGCAGCTCCGGACAGCCTGTCAGCCATCGCCCGAGCAGCCGGCGTCTCCTCCTGCTCAGTGCAGCCGCCTCGGCCTGCACGGGACTCCCCGGGCTGCTGCTGCTGCCGCCGCTGCCACCGCCACCGCCGCCGCCGCCGCCACCGTCACCGCCGCCACCGTCACCGCCGCCACCGCTGCCACCCTGAGGTGAGGGGCGGGGAGAGCCGGAGCCTCGAGCTCCGAGTAGGAGGGCGGGGACCGGGCCGGGAGCCGAAAGAGCAGGCGCCCCCCCCATCCGAGGTGCGGGCACCGGAGCGCGCACCCTCCGCTCGCCCATGTGACCGTGAGCGCGCGCCCCCGGGGGCTTGATTGGGGCGCGTATTCAGGAACTAGGGTGCCCCGGGCCCCCTGCCCCTCTGCAGTCGCAGCAGTGCCCTTCCCACATCCCCTTCTCTCCTCTTCTCCCGGAGTCAGGTTCCTTCCGGGACACCGGCATCCATCCCTTTGTCCCCTGGAGTACCAGACCCACGTGGGGGGCGGGGGGCCCCGGGTTGAGTCGCGCGCCCGCGGAGGGCCAGGTCTTGTGGTTGGAGAAGAGAGTCCTGGCCTGGCCATCCATGTGCGGGTGGGGTGGGTGGGAGCACACGTGGAGGCTCCTGGGGCCGGCAGGAGGGTGACCGGCTGTAGTGTTGTTTGCTTTAGCCACCCCACGAGGGATGTAGTAGTACTCGTGTTCGCGCGCGCACACACGTGTGTATATGTGTTTGTGTGTGCGTGTGTCCTCTCCTCGCCTCCATTTCCCCCCCCCGCCCCTCATTTCCTGCTGCCCAAGGTGAACTGAGCTTTTGGGGAAGGGGAGATTGGGGTGGAGGATGGGAGGAAAGAAGCTACTGAAGCCAAGGCCCAGTATGGTCTTATATTCGGGGGATGGAGGTGGTTTGGAAAGTATCTTTTCAGGTTAGGGCCCCCAGGTAGGCCTAGAACTTTCAGACACGGCGTGGATTTTAAATTTAGAATTCATTAATTTGAAGGCATAATCTTAACGAAAACCAGCAACACTCAGGACTAAATAAATACTACTACTAAATTCCTACTTAAACTGTTTCATTTGTCTCGTGAGGTGTGAGGAATAATCTGACATTAACTTTGAGAAATTGGCTCTGATGACACACACTCCCTATATTTCATTCATTTTTTTCTTTCCTCTCCTTAGGGCACACTGGGAACCGCACTTTCTATGGACACGCTATTTCCTCTTCCTGTAGGGGGTGGGAAAACTGGATTCTTTCATGGGATTCTTAGGGTGGCTGTGAATTGAGAACCATTTCTGTGCTGTTCATTTGACTGTTGCTTTTCCAAAAGGCAAAGTGATATAACCAAGCCGGATACAACTGTTTGCTGTCATTCTGTAATCTATCCTTGACTTAACTGCTGCCTAGCTGTTACAGTATTGGGAGTATCTATCTTTTCATCTGCCTCTCATACATGGCAAACTTACTCTAATTTTGCCAGATTAAAAAGGTAAAGGGCAAACAATTAAATGTGTAAAGTTTGTTTAGTCGTAGAATAGAAAAACTCTCCATCCTGTCTTTTTTGAGGTAGCTGGATTATTTTCATCATGCAGTTTTAAAATAGATCAGACATAGAATGTACCTGTTTTTAAAGTGAAAGAACAGAAAATGGAAGAAATTACTCAATGAGTTCGCGGCCTGAACACTCAAATTGGGGTAATGTCAGTTGATTGTGACGTTGTGAAAGGCAGCCCCGGAGAAAACATACACACCTGGTTTTTGCCTTTACCACCATGCTGTAGGCAGTTCCATCTGTAATGTACCTTGTGGCATTTATCTCCTTTTCAGCTCACTGACTGGAAATTTTTTTTTTTAAACTGTTCTACACTCAGACAGGTTTAACTGATCTGGGACTTACGTGTGTTTTGGATGGACATCATTAAGACACAAGATTGGGGAAGGAATTCAAATTTTAAATTACTTTATGTTTTCCATTGCATTTATTAGGGAAGATTCCCTCTCCAAGGATTTCTTTAGATAAGCTAATTATTTAAGTCTCTGTATGAGGGTGTGTGTGTGTGTGTGTGTGTGTGTGTGTGTGTGTGTGTGTGTGTGTGTGTGTGTGTGTGTGTGTGGGTGGCATGGTGAAGAAGCCAAAGAAGTCCAAAATGAGTGCAGCCAGGTGAAAAAGATGAGATTTCCTATTGATAAGTTTACTGGGGGTGGTACAGAAGCCAAATAAGATGTTTCTTTTCTCAGTAATCCTAAATCATATTTAGGAGTTCTGAGCTCCGATGGGCCAGCATTTACAGTTATAAAGCATTTTTTTACGTATATCATTTGACTTGTACAATAGCAACACTAGGTAGGTAGTGCGCTTACTATACCTGTTTTATGTATGGTTTTGTAATTTTTTTTCCATTAGTAGAATGAAAGAATGGAGCTTGAAGAAGGTGAGGACTGATTTATATTTGTACTTGTATCCCTACCTCCTAGCCCATGGCTGGCACATAGTAGCTTAATAAATGCTTGTGGATTGACGAACAAACTGAGACTCAAGGTGACTTTCCTGAGGTTGTACATAGTGAGTGTGTAGTAAATAGCAGAACTGAGACTTGAACCCATCTTTTAGGTAGTCTCCAAGTTCATTGCACTTTCCATTATGCCATAATAACGGTAACAACATTTATGTCGAATTTATGCAACGTGCTTCAATAATAGTGCCTCATTTTATCCACATGATCCTCATTTTGCTGATGAGGAAACAGGCATTTAGAAATTAAATTACATGCCCAGGGTCACACAGCTGTTGTCTGATGTCAAGCAGGAACTCTGGTCTTCCTGACTCTAGGGCCCGCACTTATCCGCTGTCACCCAGCAGGCTCTAATTGGTTATAACCAGATCAAGTGTAGTATCTTGTTTATACATAATTGTTTGCATATTGTCTCCTCTGTTAGACTGTAAGTTCCTGTAGAGTGAGGACTGTTTTTTGTCTTTCTTGGTATCTCTAATGCTGGGCACAGTGCGTTTCACATAGTAGGTGCTTAATAAGTACTTGTTGACTTGGTGACTTAAAAACTTCCATTGGCCCTCTATTGGGAGGGGATAGACACATTTCTATTGCTTGTAGGATAAAATACAAACTCCTCAGCCTGGAATTTGTGGCCCTTTATAATGTGACTTCGGCCTATTTTTCCAGTCTTAATTCATGTTACTCCTTTTCACTACATCCTAGTCTAACTGGACTTTTAACTTTTCTCCAAACTCTTTGTACCTTCTTCTCAGTAGGCTCCATGCCTGAAATGTACTGCCTCCTTATCTCAGACCCAGGAGTCTTATCTTCCTTCTGTGTTCAGTTCAGATGCTATATCTTTTCATTGAAATCTTCCCATATACCCTAAGTTGTTAGAGTAGTGCTTTCTTTGGCAAATGGTCTTATATTTATCAGTGTTCTATCTTCCTTCCTTCAATAAAATGTAGGCTCCTTGAAGATAGGAACTGTTTCTTTATATCTCTGGTACCTAGTACTGTGCTGTTTATATGTGTAGTAGATGTTTAATAAATATTTATTGAATTGAATATGGAATCATTAAGGAAAGATATTTTGGCAACTGAGAAAGATGAATTGGGAGCAGAGGGGCCAACTAAAGGCAAATGCAGGAAAATCAATTCAGAGGCTAGGTATGAAGAAATGTGAAGAACATTATATGCTTTACAGAATATTGTTAACTTGATTTTGGGCAACTGAAAACTCTTGATAAACATATTTCAAAATATAAAAGTTTAATTTGCTGCACTAACCTTTCCAAATGTAAGGGATTTTGATTTGAGGCCTTCTTAAAGATCACTTACTGCAAATTATTAAAAAAGGGTCAGGCAGTAGGGAAGATATTAGCAAAGTCTATTTAAAAATATTGATCATTAACCTGACAAAAATGGAAAGCAAGGTGAATCTATTTCCTGTTTTAGTCTTCAGAATTCTTTTGTGAAATATTTTCTTTCTTTTTTCTCTTTTTTAATTTTTGGCAATTGCGGTTAAGTGACTTGCCCAGGGTCATATAGCTAGTAAGTGTCAAGTGTTTGGCTGAGGCCAAATTTGAACTCGGGTCCTCCTGATTCCAGGGCCCGTGCTTTATCCACTGTGCCATCTAGCTGCCCCTATGAAATATTTTTTTAAAAAAGCTAGAACATGTTGTATTTAGTTCAGATACTTTTATCAGAAGATAACTGAAGCAAATTGCTTCCCCTTTTAATAGAGCTGCTTAGAAAATACAGTGGCATTTGAGTTTAGGGAGCAAATCTTAAATAGTTTTGTTAAACCTGTTTTTTTTTTTTTATTCTGACTCTTTAGCAGATACATTAGTTGTGATTAGTCTCACCTCATGTTGAGGGATAGATCTCAAGTTTTGGACCCCTTGCAAAAAATGTAAGGGCTACCATATAAAAAGGATAAGTTATACATTTTTATTTCAATAAAACATCATATATTCTCATTGATAAAAGTATAAGAAGAGTAATTTCTTTTTTTAAAAATTTTTAAATTTTTATTTTCAGGCAATTGGGGTTAAGTAACTTGCCCAGGGTCACACAGCTAGTAAGTGTGTTTGGTTTGAGGCTGCATGTGAACTCAGGTCCTCCTGACTTCAGGGCTGGTGCTCTATCTACTGCACCACCTAGCTGCCCCCAGAAGAGTAATTTCTAGAAAGCACTCAAACTTTGTCATTAATAATTAATTCTTTGAACAGTAGAGTGCAATTAGAATCACAGGTGAGGCTTTTATAGCCCTCTATCTCCTAACTCAAATTGAAAAAGAATCTCTTCTAAGTCATACTTGATGAATGGTTATTTGTTATTTAGTTATTCATTTGTTTATTTATCTATTTATTTATCTATCTGTCTGTCTGTCCAGTTTTTGCTGAAAGTCCTTCAGTGGGGCTGCAGCAGGGTTAGGTGGCCCATCTCACTTTTGGATTACTCTGAACGGAAAGTTTTCCTCATGTTAATCCTAAATTTGCCTCTTTGCAAGGCAAACTCGCCTCCTATTCCTCGTTCTGTCTTTTGGGGGTAAACAACAAATCTCATGCCTTTCCCATATGGTAGCCCTTTTAATACTTAGGGACAACTATTCTGAGAATCAGTGAGTACATGGACTTTAGAGGCAGAGAACCTGGGTTCAAATTCTGTCTCTGATACTT